TGCCTACCAGATAGGTCACCCTGCTAATGCCTGGATACTGTAACTTTAGGTGTAACAACTTCAATCCCCCTAACCTCTGGATGGGGCTTTCCAGGTGGCACTAGTGGTAAAGAACCCACCTGCCAATGCAGGTGATGTAAGAGACGCGGTTTCGATCTCTCTGGGTTGGAAAGATCCCCTGGAGAAGGGCATGGCAACCCACTCCAGTATTCCTGCCTGGAGAATTGGTCAAAGTATTTATTTAATAATTGATTTCACTCATTTGGGCATGCTTATCTGAGAAATAACAGGATGAAATGGACCCCTACTTGGTGGCTGACAACCTCCCCCTTTCATTATCTTTTCTCCCTCTTATAATCCCCATTTGCAGATAGCCAGGATCTCTTACTGTGTCATAATCTCTATCTCTATAAAATTAAGATATTATCTCCCAACACCCATTTACATTCGGAATCCATTCACAGCAATGTCTTAACTCTCTACCCAGGTCTCTGCATGCCAAAGACTATTACCTTTAACAGAATTCAATACATTGACTCAGAACAGCTTTCAAGCTTTTCCGACCCCAACCTACACTAAGAAGTACACTTTATATCAGGCCTAGTACACATACAGATATAACTGAGAAGTTTTATGAAACATACTTACCCTGAAAAAAATGCTTCCTGGACAGTTTCACAAAATACATTTACTACTGAATTCACTGAAATTATGTACTCTGCTTCATTAAAAAAAATCCTGGTCTCACCCACCAAATTGACTTTATGACTTGCTAATGGGTCATCCATGGAGTCACAAAGAGTCAGACATGACTTAGTGACTGAACAACAATGGGTCACAATCTACAACTTGAAAAACAATGCTCAAAGAAGTAGCAAAGATAGTAAAATATTTGGGAGGGAGGGGATGAGGGAAATCTCTGTGAAGGAGGATATGTGGGAATTCTGGGTGAGGGCAGGGTGCATGCATGCTCAGTTGTGTTGATTCTCTGCGACTTCATGAACTGTAGCCTGCCAGGTTCCTGTCCATGGAGTTCTCCAGACAAGAATACTGGAATGGGTTGCCCTTTCCTACTCCAGGGGATCTTCCCAACCCAGGAGTTGAATTTGTCTCTTGCATCTCCTGCATTGGCAGGTGGATTATCACTGAACCACGTGGGAAGCCCATGAAGGAAGGGGTGAGGGAATTTTGAGTGAAGGAGGGTGTGGGGGAGGTATAAAAAAAAGATGTATCTGAAGGACATGTTTATTTCTGCAATAGGGACATATCTACTACAGATGGGGCTTCCCAAGAGGCTTAGTGGTAAAGAATCCACCTGCCAATGTGGGAGACCAAGGAGACATGGGTTTGGTCCCTGGGTTGGGCAGATCCCCTGGAGAAGGGAAAGAGTCAGACATGACTGAGTGAATGAGCATGCATGTACAACTGCAGAAAACAGACATCTTATACTTACCTATAACATCCTCTGCCCCAATGATTTTGATGGAGTATTGGTCAACAAGGTCTACTTTTTGAAGTATTAGTCACTCAGTCATGTCTGACTCTCTGCAACCCCATGTACTATAGCCCACCAGGCTTCTCTGTCCAAGGAATTCTCCAAGCAAGGATACTGGAGTGGGTTGCCATTCCCTTCTCCAGGGGATCTTCTCAACCCAGGGATCAATCCCATGTCTCCCCCAACTGCAGGCAAATTCTTTACTGTCTGAGCCACCAGTAAAGCCCCCTTTTTTAAGAAATCTACTCAAATATTTAAGGAGCACCTACCACATGCTGGGCACTGATCAAGGCTCTGCAAATACACAATAATCAGAACCAAACTCTCATGCAGTGACATTCTAGTTGTGGGAAGATAGACAACAATCAAATAATTAGGTAAACATACAGTATGAGATAGTGGTGAGTGCATCCTCCAGATAGATCTGGAGAAATCAACCTGCCTGACTTCAGGTATACCACAAAGCTACAGTCATCAAGACAATATGGTACTGGCACAAAGATAGAAATAGAGATCAAGGAAACAAAATAGAAAGCCCAGAGATAAATCTATGCACCTATGGATACCTTATCTTTGACAAAGGAGGCAAGAATATACAATAGAGAAAAGGCAATCTCTTTAACAAGTGGTGCTGGGAAAACTGGTCAAACACTTGTAAAAGAATGAAACTAGAACACTTTCTAACACCATACACAAAAATAAACTCAAAATGGATTAAAGATCTAAATGTAACACCAGAAACTATAACACTCCTAGAGGAAAACATAGGCAAAACACTCCCTGACATAAATCACAGCAGGATCCTCTATGACCCACTTCCCAGAGTAATGGAAATAAAAGCAAAAATAAACAAATGGGACCTAATTAAACTTAAAAGCTTTTGCACAACAAAGGAAACTATAAGCAAAGTGAAAAGACAGCCTTCAGAATGGGAGAAAATAATAGCAAACGAAGCAACAGACAAAGAATTAACCTCAAAGAATTCATTTGAATCAGTTCTAATGAGATGGATGAAACTGGAGCCCATTATACAGAGCGAAGTAAGCCAGAAAGATAAAGACCATTACAGTATACTAACACATATATATGGAATTTAGAAAGATGGTAACGATAACCCTATATGCAAAACAGAAAAAGAGACTCCGATGTATAGAACAGACTTGTGGACTCTGGGAGAAGGCGAGGGTGGGATGTTTCAAGAGAACAGCATCGAAACACGTATATTATCTAGGGTGAAACAGATCACCAGCCCAGGTTGGGTGCATGAGACAAGTGCTCGGGCCTGGTGCACTGGGAAGACCCAGAGGGATCGGGTGGAGAGGGAAGTGGGAGGGGGGACTGGGATGGGGAATACATGTAAATCCATGGCTAATTCATTTCAATGTATGACAAAAACCACTGCAATGATGTAAATTGCAGTGTAAATTGTAAATGTAAAGTGTAAATTGTAAATGTAAAATTAGCCTCCAACTAATAAAAATAAATGAAAAAAAAAAAAAAAAAGAATTAACCTCAAAAATATACAAGTAGCTCCTGCAGCTCAATTCCAGAAAAATATACGACCCAATCAAAAAATGGGCCAAAGAGCTAAACAGACATTTCTCCAAAGAAGACATACAGATGGATAACAAATACATGAAAAGATGCTCAACATCACTTATTATCAGAGAAATGCAAATCAAAACCACAATGAGGTACCATCTCACACCAGTCAGAATGGCTGCTATCCAAAAGTCTACAAACAATAAATGCTGGAGAGGGTGTGGAGAAAAGGGAACTCTCTTACGCTGTTGGTGGGAATGCAAACTAGTACAGTCACTATGGAGAACAGTGTGGAGATTCCTTAAAAAATTGGAAATAGCACTGCCATATGACCCAGCAATCCCACTGCTGGGCATACACACAGAGGAAACCAGAATTGAAAGAGACACGTGTACCCCAATGTTCATCGTAGCACTGTTTATAATAGCCAGGACATGGAAGCAACCTAGATTCCACTGGCAGATGAATGGATAAGAAAGCTGTGGTACATACACACAATGGAATATTACTCAGCCATTAAAAAGAATACATTAGAATCAGTTCTAATGAGGTGGATGAAACTGAAGCCTATTACACAGAGTGAAGTAAGTCAGAAAGAAAAATACCAATACAGTATACTAACGCATATATATGGAATTGAGAAAGATGGTAATGATGACCCTATGTCCAAGACAGCAAAAGAGACACAGATGTACAGAACAGTCTTTTGGACTCTGTGGGAGAAGGCGAGGGTGGGATATTTGAGAGAATAGCATTGAAACATGTATTAAAAAAAATGGGCCAAAGACCCTACAGAAGGGTCTTTTTTCAGACTATTCTTTTCTTGGGCATGTTCAACTCCCTTCCTCCTTTCTCCCAGAAAGCCAGTTCTCTCTTGGGATTTATTGATACCCTCAGTTTGAAAAGTGAGAAGGATGAGACCAATAGTCAATCTTCTTAAAAGGTGACTTTGTTTATCTTTTCTATGTGTTTTTCATGAATGGGTACTGAGATAAATCTGTTTTTTTAAATTCTTACTTGGGTAGTAATGATAATAATTATCCCCACATCTTGCAAGTGTAATGAGAGTGGGATTAAGTTGACGAAACAAAGCTTTTCGTTAGTTTCAGGAGTCAGCAGCATTTGGTCATTTTTATTGCAGGGCTGTTGTCCTTAGATGTCCTGGCTCCTTCCACAAAGAAACCCCCACCTACTTTTCTCCTGATGGGTACTCTACTCTGGAGCACAGGGGTTAACCAGTGAGAATCCTACACACGTGAGAAGTGTGGTCACTTCAGGTCAAGGCGAGAATTCACCCTGCATTTGAATTAAGAGGTTGGCAACCTAGAACAATCACAAATTGTCCCACATCGCCTTACTACATAGAGTCAAAAATACCTACTGAAATGAGCAACTGCAGTCCCTCTCCCCCCAAAAATAACAAAAGACAGAATTCACCCAGTGGATGCCTTTGATCCATTAAAAAGTTAGCAAACATTTTCTGTAAGGGGTTCCAGTGAACTTTTCCAGCTTTTTAAGTCACACTATCTTTGTCACTACTCAAATCTGCCACTGTCATCCTAAAGCCACCACAGACAATATGTAAATGAATGGTATGGCCATGTTTCAATACAACTTTATTTACAAAAACAAGCAGCAGGCTGACCCCTGCTTGAGGCTGATGCAGAGACTACTTCCTTCTGAGAACGCCAGGAGCTTACATTTGAGACAGGCTGAAGGTATGAGATGGGAGAGGCAAGGCAAAGGCACCGAGGAAAGAGGCACAGAAACAACAAAGAGCCAGGTTGTCCAAAGAGCAATGTGTATGCCAGAAGGTGGCAAGAGACTAAAATTTAATTAGGTGAGAACAGTACATTTTAAGTATGTGCAAATTGAACTTTTGCCGTTTCAATTCTTATTTAAAAACTACATTATTTTAAAGATATTCTTAAAACAGTATTTAAAAAATCATTTTCTATTAGAATCACACACTTTTTCCTTGAATCAGAAGTTGCGCCACTATCCTGGTTACCTGTGGATTCACCAAGCAGTCCAGCAAGTCATCTGTAGAAACGAATGTTTGGGAAAGGGCCCCAGTCCTATCTGAAGCAACCTGTTCCACAACTGCATTCTCACTCTCACTCATCATTCGTTGCCTCTTGGTATTAAGCAGTTTTCCAAAGGATTTTCCATTTATGCTGACAAACTCTTCACCATCATTTTCAAATATGCCTCCTCTTGCTGAAGATGGTTCTTGGGAACTTGGTATGACAGGAACAAGATCAAGGCCAAAAGGACTTGCTGCTTCTTGTTTTACTGTTTCTGAACTTAAGTTGTGGCTACCAATTTGTTCTACCTCCACGTGGTTGTGCACATTTAACTCTTCCTTTATTGTGTATTCTCTGTTTGTTCTCAGCGCTTGGGTTTCTACTACTTCAGAAGTTCCATAATGATTAAAAAAAGCAGAAATGGCTCCATTTAAGTAGTGACAATTGACTTCATGGGATGTTTCCTCAAGCTAGGGAAAAAGAAAAACTCTTTAAAATGGTTATACATACTTAACATAAATTGGAGAACAAACGTTCTTGTCAGAGTTGGTTTATCACACAATAGTAACTGGAAGAGACCTACCTCAGTCGGGTTTAACCAAGCTCTGGTATTGTGTGGATTCTCTGCAGTTTTCAGGGCACACACAAGCATGCGGGTGATTGCCTCTTCTACCCGGGCTTGGTGGTCCTCTTCCTAAGTCAAGGTTGAAAAAGAAGACACAGTTTTTTGTCTCTGGGTCTCACTGCTTAAAACAGAGGAGAGTCTCTTAATTATGTGTTTTGTTCTTTCATCAACATAAGCTTTGTTACTGAAGGATGAATATGCTGTTGGCAGACCACGATTTTTATGTATTAACTATCTTCTGCCACCTAGAAAGAGTTGCAGAATATTTCGCCAACTAAATTTAAGTATGGGTCCTGTCTTAAGACATAGGCCTTAAGTATGAATCACCTGTGATATTTTCTCCAGCATTTTCCATTCTCTGGCATGTTTAAAGTTTCTTTTAAAAAATATCACATAAAAATGAATAATCCCAATAGAGGATTATTTTGACAAGCTAATTTTTTGAGGAATGGGAAAAAAATTTTAATAAACATTCTTGGTTGAATGGCATCACCGAAGCAATGGACATAAAACTGGGCAGTCTCTGGGAGATGGTGAGGGACAGGGAAGCCTGGTGTGCTATAGTCCATGGGGTTTCGAGGAGTCGGACATGACTTGGTAACTGAACAACAACAAACATTCTTGGTCACAGGAGTCAGAAGGCTAAATATCTATCTTAAGGCTAAATATCTATCTATCTATTGTATCTTAAGATACAATAAATATAAACTATGGCAATCATGATAAACTACATTAAAATTAGTAACTTTTGTTCATCAAAAGACACCATAAAGGAAATAAAGAAGCCAGATGTCTGTAACATATATAACTGATTGCAAAATATATAAAGAATCTGCACACATCAGTAAGACAAATGACCCATTTTTTTTTTAAATGGGCAAAAGCCACAAAGATAAACATTCAAAAAAAGAACAATTATATGAGTAATAAACACATGAAAATAAGCTTAGTCTCATTAGTAATCAGGGAAATGCAAATCAAGAAACCCATGAAACTGGCAAAAGAGGGTCTGATAATTCCAAATGATGGAGAAATGTCAAACAATTGACAGAAATCTTATACATAGATGGTGGGAATGTGTACTGACAGACATTTGGAAAACATGCAGGCATTATTTTATAAACTTGAGTGCTCTATACCCTACAGATGGCAATTCCACTTCTAGTTATATACACATTCTCTGGAGAAACTCTTGCACATGTATACAAGAATATTCTATTTATAAAAGCAAAAAAACTAAAAACAACCCAATTATCCATCAACAAAAAAATGAATCAATAAACTGTGGTACATTAACACTAGAGGATATTATTATATCACAGTGAAAATGAATGACCAGCTACATGTGACAACAGAGATGAATATTAGATGAATATTAGAAACACAGATGACTATTAGAAGCATAATATTAAGTTTAAAACAAAGCAAATCCCCAAGATGAGATACCACTTCTCACTAGGATGGCTATAATAAAAAAGACAGATAACAAATCTTCGTAAGGATGTGAAGAAATCAGAATCTTCATACTTTGTTGGGGGAATGTAAATGGTGCACTGCATTGGAAAATAGCCTGGCAATTCCTCAGAAGATTAACTCTAGAGTTACCAGATAGTTAATTTTATGAGTCAACTTGGGTAGGCTATGGTGACCAACTGTCTAGTCAAACACTATTCTAGATGTCACTGTAAAGATATTTTGTAGATGTGATTAACATTTATAATCAGGTGACTTTAAGTAAAAGGAGATTATCCTCAATAATGTAGGTGGACCTCATCTGATCAGTTGAAAGCTTTAAGAACAAAAGTTAAGGTTTCTTGGAGAAGAAAAAATTCTGCCTCAAGATGGCAACAGAAATCCTAAGCCAGTTTCCAGCCTGCCAGCCTGTTACAGATTTACAGATTTTGGACTCTATACTGCAACTCTGAACTCATCTGAATTTCCAGCCTTCTGGCCTGCCCTGGCTGATGTCCGTATGATCCAGCAACTCCACACCCAGGTATATACCAAAAGAAATGAAAACATACATCCACATAAAACCATGTACACAAATAGCTGTAGCATTATTCATAATAGCCAAAAGTAGACACAATCCAAAGATCCACCAACTGATTAGTGGATAAACAAAATGTGGTATGTCTAAACAATACTTTTTAGCTATAAAAAAAGAATGAAGTACTGATACATGCTACTCCATGGATGATTCTTAAAAATATTATGCTGAATGAAAGACACCAGCCATGGCTACAATCAAAGCCTCTGGTTAAAGCATGCACAAATGCAATAAGGCCTCAGGTGGCAGAGACAGACTTGAACCATAATGTTAGCCATTCTAATTGTCAAGTGGAGCAGGCAACCAGGATTAAGCATAGCATAATGGAAGGAAAAAGCCTTTGGCAGAAATAAAATGATAAAACCTAGCACTGAAAGACTGCTCTGAGAAAATGTATAAGTCAGGACTGTGAATTGGGCAATTAATAACGAGGACCCTGAACCAAGAAGCAGATATCTCCAGCCCAGATGGTGTGGGATGGGACTAGCAACATGGGACATGTGTGGCAGACTCAGCCAGGCCCAACACAATTCTCCTAATACCAGTCAAGGGAGAAGACCTGGCTCACTAATGTCAGGGTGCATTGTGCCCCTAGAAGAAAGAGAACAGTGTCACAAAAGCCCTATTTCCCAACCTCACCATCCACCAACAGAGCACAGAATCCATAACCTATAGCATAGCAGACAAAGTAACATGGGAGTGTTGGTTAAAATTAGTCATTAAGTTAAAAAGACAGGCATTGTGTATCTTAAAGGCAAGGAGATGACATTTGTTAGAAAAAGAAAATACCAGCTCAATCCATGAGTTTATACTGACAGTGACAGGATCAATGGATTCCACATAATGCCACCAGTGTCTGGGAACAAATAGAACCTGAAAACCAAACAAAAAATGGTTAGCACAAAACCAAAACATTTTATGTCAGAATCAGATCTAAAGTGAAGCTGCTAGGAAAAAAATTCAAATGAATTTATAGCAATATTGTAATAGGAAAGGGAAAAATAAGAAAAAGCTCCCATAATCCTTTTATTCCTTTAAAAAAAAAATTAACAAGTTTGCATGTTCTACAAAGGATATTGGCTTCCCTGGTGGCTCAGATGGGAAGATCCCCTGGGGAAGGGAATGACAACCCACTCCAGTATTCTTGCCTGGAGAATTCCACGGACAGAAGAGCCTGGCAGGCTACAAGTCCATGGGGTCGCAAGGAGTTGGACATGACTGAGCGAATAACACTTTCACTTTTTCACAAAGGATATTACCAGCTTCTCCAGTCTCTACTCTCCTTTATGCTGGACCTTTTTTGTCTGCATCCAAATCTTGGTAAAGGATTCTGAGATTTTAACTGTTTCTCCTTTCCATCACATAAGAATTGCATGAGTTCTGAGAAAGGGCATACATAAAAATATAGGACATAGTTTCTGACTTCTCATGGTATAAAATCTAGCCAATGAAAAAATAGTATAGACAAAAGTGGCATTATATAAAGGTAAATCAGAGGAGTGGACACTTGTGCTAGAGAAGTTCAGAGGCGAGAGAGGCAGGCACAAACTAGGGAGGTCAGGGGCAACCTGGATGAAGGGAGTGTGATTTGAACCACGACTAGGAGAGAATGAGGACACGCCAGGAGGCGGAAGTGGGCAAGGGAGGTAGGACTGTCGAGGGATAGCAAACAGGCCAGTTTTACCACTGCAGAAGGAATAATGGGGAATAAAGTGGGAGAATCAGGTTAGGGCCAGTGGAGGGCCCTGAATTCAGAATAAAGAATCTGGATTTTATATCCTGTAGGCATTACAAGTTCCTGAGAAGTTCTGAGTAAGTGGACGGTTAAAATAGTGACATTATGGGAAAGTCTGGGAAGGACAGGAGCATCCTGCAATGGTCCATTTGGGAGGGGGGACCGGGATGGGGAATACATGTAAATCCATGGCTAATTCAGTTCAATGTATGACAAAAACCACTGCAATGATGTAAAGTAATTAGCCTCCAACTAATAAAAATAAATGGAAGAAAAAATAAAATAAAATGAAGACAAAGGAACCACAAAAATAAATAAATTAATTAATTAAATGTTAAGATTTAAATAGGAAGGAACAGCAAACGAAAGCAATGGGCAGAACCAAGAAGGACTGCATTTGTCCAGACTCACTACAAGAGTCTGTGAAAGGCCAAGAAGAGTAGATGGAGATGATCTGAAACTTCTGGGTTTGGATTTACAAAATGGTAGCACTTGCTACAGACAAGGTGGAGTTGGGAAGAGAGCTCCTTTCAGGAGAATTAGGCACTAAAAATGGCCACTACAGCCACTGGATTTAGTCATTAGGCGGTCTCGAATGTCTTATCACAGAGTTTACTTTCAGTACAGAGGTAAGAGAGGGAGCCAGTTTATGATGGATTCAGCAAAGAGCATGATGTAAAAAAGCTGATACACGGGACAGAAATACTCACTGAATTTGGCTATTAAAGTAGAAAAAAAAAAAAGAATTAGCAGCCACTTCACACCCACTAAAATGGCTATACTTGTAGCAATATAATAATAGTAATAATATCAATAGACTTTGCTGGTGGTTCAGATGGTAAAGCATCTGCCCACAATGCGAGAATAATAAAGGAAGATAACAAGTGTTGGAGAGCATGTAAAGCAATTAGAACTCACATAGATTGCTGGTGGGAATGTAAAATGGTGCAGCTGCTATGGAAAACAGTTTGGCAATTCCCCCAAAAGTTAAAACACAGAATTAACATATGACCCAGCAATTCCACTCCTACATGGATACCCAAGAGAACTGAAAATACATGCTCTTACAAAACCTTGTACACAAGGATTTATAGCAGTATTAGTCATAATAACCAAAAAAGTGGAAACAACCCAAATACCCATCAGGTGTTTAATGGATAAATAAAATGTATATTCACATAATGGAACAACAGTCAGTTTAGTTCAGTCGCTTAGTCATGTCCGACTCTTTGCAACCCCATGGACTGCGGCACACCAGGCCTCCCTGTCCATCACCGACTCCTGGAGCTTGCTCAAACTCATGTCCATTGAGTCAGTAATGTCATCCAACCATCTTATCCTTTGTTGTCCCCTTTTCCTCCAGCCTTCAATCTTTCCCAGCATCAGGGTTTTTTCAAATGAGTCAGTTCTTCACATCAGGTGGCCAAAGTATTGGAGTTTCAGCTTCAGCATCAGTCCTTCCAATGACTATTCAGGACTGAGTTCCTTTAGGATTGACTGGTTGGATCTCCTTGCAGTCCAAGGGACTCTCAAGAGTCTTTTCCAACATCACAGTTCAAAAGCATTAATTCTTCAGTGCTCAGCTTTTTTTATGATCCAACTCTCACATCCATACATGACCACTGGAAAAACCACAGCTCTGACTACATGGCCCTTCATTGGAAAAGAAGTGTCTCTGCTTTTTAATATGCTGTCTAGGTTAGTCACAGCTTTTCCTCCAAGAGCGTCTTTTAATTTCATGGCTGCAGTCACCATCTGCAGTGACTTTGGAGCCAAACAAAATAAAGTCTGTCACTGTTTCCATTGTTTCCCCATTTATTTGCCATGAAGTGATGGGTCCAGATGCCATGATCTTAGTTTTTTGAAAGTTGAGTTTTAAGCCAACTTTTTCACTCTCCTCTTTTACTTTCATCAAGAGGCTCTTCAGTGCCTCTTCACTTTCCGTCATAAGGGTGGTGTCATCTGCATATCTGAGGTTATTGATATTTCTTGCGGCAATCTTGATTCCAGCTTGTGCTTCATCCTACCCGGCATTTTGCATGATGCACTCTGCATATAAGTTAAGTAAGCAGGGTGACAATATACAGCCTTGATGTATTCCTTTCCCAATTTGGAACCAGTCTGTTGTTCCACGTCCAGTTCTAACTGTTGCTTCTTGATCTGCATACAGATTACTCAGGAGGCAGGTAAGGTGGTCTGGTATTCCCCTCTCTTGAAGAATTTTCCAGTTTGTTGTAATCTACACAGTCAAAGGCTTTGGTGTAATCAATAAAGCAGAGGCAGACGTTTTTCTGGATCTCTTGCTTTTTCGATGATCCAATGGATGTTGGTAATTTGATCTCTGGTTCCTCTGCTATTTCTAAATCCAGCTTGAACATCTGGAAGTTCATGGTTTGTACTGTTGAAGCCTGGCTTGGAGAATTTTGAGCATTACTTTGCTAGCATCTGAGATGAGTGCAATTGTGCAACAGGTTGAACATTCTTTGTCTTTGCTTTCTTTGGGTCTGGAATGAAAACTGACCTATTTTAGTCCTGTGGCCACTGCTGAGTTTTCCAAATTTGCTGGCATATTGAGTGCAGCACTTTCACAGCATCATATTTTAGGATTTGAAATAGCTCAACTGGAATTCCACCACCTCCACTAGCTTTGTTCGTAGTGATGCTTCCTAAGGCCCACTTGACTTCGCATTCCATGATGTCTGGCTCTAGGTGAATGATCACACTATCATGGGTCATGAAGATCTTTTTTGTATAGTTCTTCTGTGTATTCTTGTCACCCCTTCTTAATATCTTCTGCTTCTGTTAGGCCCATACCATTTCTGTCCTTTATTGTGCCCATTTTTGCATGAAATGTTCTCTTGGTATCTCTAATTTTCTTGAAGAGATCTCTAGTGTTTCCCATTCTATTGTTTTCCTCTATGTCTTTGCATTGATCACTGAGGAAGGCTTTTTATCTCTCCTTGTTATTCTTTGGAACTCTGCATTCAACTGGGCATAGCTTTCCTTTCTCCTTTGCCTTTAGCTTCTCTTCTTTCCTCAGCTATTTGTAATGGAACATAGTCATCCATAAAAAGGAACGAAGAGCCAATAACATTCTACAGTGTGGATGAACCTTGAGGAGATTATGCTATGTGAAAGGAGCCAGACATAAAAGACCACAGATTGCACAACTGCACTTATATGAGACGTCCAGAATAGGCAAATCTATCAAGAAAGAAAACAGAGAAGCGGCTGTCAGGGTCTGGGGGGATAGGTGAATGAGGAGTGACTGCTGACAAGATGAGGAAACAGTCAGACTGCTTGAGCTGGAGCACTCTCGTGTAAAGGAGGCAGGAAGAGCCAGTGAGAAGGGGGGAAGGAGGGAACACAGGCAGGTAAGAGGGATAATCAAGGGAATAAAATCCCCTTAAGAGACTAAGAAAACCTGGTAAATGTTAATAAAATATCGGACCGTACATGCCAGCGTTGTAGAGGTGATTTTCCCCACTCAGTAGGAGCACTAAGCACCGAACCTTTGGAGATACTTCAGAGACAGTCAGTTACTAAAGCAGCATCCATTCCTGCTTAAAAGCAAATCATTCTCAACAAATATTGTATGACTTCAATCTACAAAATGATAAAACAAATCTGTATACAAAACAGAAACAGACTTATAGACATAGAAAACAAGCTTATGGGTACCATGTTTGGTTATGGGGGAAGGGATAATTTAGGAGTAGGGGATTAACAGATACAAACTACTGCACACAGAATATATAGGCAACACGGATTTACTGTATAGTACAGAGAACTATATTCAATATCTTGTAACAAATTATCATGGAATATAACCTGAAAAAATATATAACTGAATCACTATGCTATACATCTGAAACTAACACAATGTTATAAACCAACTATACCTCAATTTAAAAAAAACCCTTAAATCCCTAAATCATTCTTAGCTCATTCTGCCTGTGCTGGCCCACTAACTGGATACGCTTGAACCTGTGTTTGTGTGCCTGGATTCTCACCTAGTTGAACAGATATTAGTTGTGAATAAATGTTTCAGAAGTGCTCAACCTAAATGAAAATGACTGAGCTCCTGGATCTTCCTCCACAGTCCATTCTCCTCTTCACCAGCAGGAGGAGCCATGCACCCTCCTCTCACTTCCCTTCCATGACCTGTGAAGCTGCGACTGTGTGCCGCCTACAGCTGGAGAAGCTAGCTTCCAATAGCAGAGCAGCAGGGAAGGGGCCGCTGTCAGTCATCTCTACTGGTAGGGAGGCACGTGACATAGGACTTGAAAGAAGTTATAGCTGGGGTGTCCACTGACAGGTCACCAATGTTTTAAAGCTCCTATTACCTGTCCTGGGCTCAGCGTAACCATATGTCTTCGAGCTTTCCGGAACTGAGGAAAACGTTTTAAATCAGGATTGACAACATTGATTTTACTGAACACACTGGATTCTTCATAAGGGATTCTAGTTGGATAAAGGAAAGGAATATCTTCAGGAGGAAAGAGATGCCATCTTTTCCTAATGAAAAAAAAAAAGATACAAGTTAGTATTGTAGACTTGAGACAAAAGATGTAAGAAGGCAGCAGCTAAGTGCCCGTTTTCACCCATTTTCATTCAATCCACGAAGGAATACAGGAGCCACCTCAGGGGTCACCTGGCCCATCTCTCACTCAGTGCTGGAAGCTCCTCTGCAGACACCTGGTGGAGGTAGGTTAGCAACTAGAGGGTATCTCAGGATGTCCCAAGTAGCCCCTTTGCAGGGACAAGATCTGCTTTGTAAGATAATTTTCAAATCCTAGTCAGTCTCCTCATAAGCTGTTTCCATTCCTACAGTTAGAGCTACCTAGAATAACCTCCCTCCACTCTCTCAAATCTCTGTATTCTTATCTTATCCAGGGTAACCTGTCAGGGTTCTGTCCATCAAGTTAAGTTTTCAGACTTCTCCCTGTTTGGACTGTAAATTTCTTAAGTTAAACATTTAAATTGATTCATTAAGGAAGAGAAATGCACAAATGATGCCACATAATAAAAAGTAGTGTAATATAGGAATTTGCTAAAAGAGAAAACTGTAAAATGTTACAGTCACTTTAAAATTCTTTGGAAAATGGAAGTGATAAATCTTAACTCACAAAACATTAGACACATCAATACTTGGAGCCAACAGAGGGAGGATATCTGAAGCAAAGAAGGGAGAAGTGTGAAAAGGGAAAAGACACAGATAGAAATCCACAGATGGGGAAGTAGAGAGAGAAAAGAACCAAGTTCTGAGACAAGTCCTAAAGCCCTCTAGTGACCCCTGGCAGTTACAGTAGGGCTGTCTTGTCCTTTCAAGATAGCTGACTGCTCTTCTTAAACTAGGAAGTATAAAGTCATATTTTGCCTTAGAGATGATAAAGCTGCTCCCTGGACTCATTTGGGAGAATATGTATGGAAAGACCTCATCAGTCTAATTTTATTTTCAAAGAGGTGGAAGAAGGAGCCAGCTAAGCAGACACCTGTCTAGCTGAATTGGGAGTGGATGCCTGGAAGTTCTGGATCAGCTTTCTAAGAGCAATCCTGATCATGGCTGAGAGACACAGCACATAGAAACCACCGTGTATACTGCTCCCCTTATTTCACAAAGGAGGAGACTGAACCAGAGGTAAAGAGATTTGCCCTGGTCATGAGACAGGCTGATAGAATGGAGCAGGGAGTCCTGCTGCCTACTCAATAGTCACTGCTTTTCCTGTGCAACACACAAAGACACACACGCACACATACATTTATCTCTCTCCCTCCGGCATGCCTATACACATATGCATTACCTTCCTTGTACCTGGAATACTAAGTTGCAACCATAGGTGTCCAGATGACAGGGTGTATGGGCCCCCAGGGAGCCGATCCACAATGTACTTTCCTGTCCATTTCTTCCAGGAAACCCAAAGTCAGACCATATCACATCCTGTTATGAAAATAAAGTTACAGTCCATCAAGAACCAACCAACTATGCTGTATAGTAGTGTTATACATTTTCACTTACACATCTGGTTTGGGGCAATGGGAACAACTCTCTTACAGAAAACACTACAGATGGAAGAGCTTAGGTTTCCAGAGCAGTCCAAGAAGTCTTTTTAACCAATAACATATCTGAATGACCTCACTAATAGCAGTTATTCAACAAATATTTACTGTCTGCCTACAACACGCCTGGCACTCCTAGAGCATGTGATCAATCAGTGAACAAAATAGACAAAAATGCCCACCCAAATGAAGCCTGCATTTTAGAGGCTAGAGACCAACAATAAACACTAGACAGAGATATGAGGATATCTGGGGAAAGTGACTCAGGCAGTAGGAAGAGTGAAGAGTAGGAAACAGAAGTTTTTTTTTTTAAATCTCTGAAGCTCAACTCATGAATCCAGAAAAGCATATTCCCTCTAAACAGTATAGATATTTCAAGGTGTAAGTAATACATTAACTTTTTGCACCTCAAAGAACACACGAAAGAAGGCTTCTCCTAGGTTGTTGTTGTTCACTTGGTCAGTTGTGTCTTACTCTTTGCAACCTCATGGCCTGCATCATGCCATGTTTCTCTGTCCTTCACTATCTCCCAGAGTTTGCTCAAATTCATGTCCATTGAGTTGATGATACCATCCAACAGTCTCAATCTCTGTCGCTCCCTTCTCTTCCTGCCTTCAATCTCTTCCAGCATCAGGGTCTTTTCCAATGAGTCAGCTCTTCGTATCAGGTGACCAAAATACTAGAGTTTCAGCTTCAGCATCAGTCCTTCCAATGAATAGTCAGGGTTAATTTCATTTAGAATTGACTGATCTGATTTCCATGCAGTCCAAGGGACCCTCAAGAGTCTTCTCCAGTACGACAGTTCAAAAGCATCAATTCTTCGGCATTCAACCTTCTTTATGGTCCAACTCTCACATTTGTACACGACTACTGAAAAAGCCACAGCTTTGACTATACAGACTTTTGTCAGCAAAGTGATGTCTTTGCTTTCTAATATGCTGTCTAGGTTTGTCTCCTAGGTTAGTGGAGCTGTTTAAAACTATAGATGCCTTTACTATGGAACATTAGTTCATACCTAATCAGAGTGTCCAGGTGGGGGAGACACAGCATATATTTTGAAACACTATTGCTATGCTCCTTAAAGTCATGAACTCTGTAAAAAACTTTAAAACAGAGAGGCACTTTGACCTTGGCACTCCTTATGTCTAGTTCTCCTTCTTTCAACAAACTGCTCTGCTTGATTTCATTTAGGCTTAAAGAAAGAATGTTCCTATTTTTAAATAAAAGTTGGAAAACTACAAATGTAGTTTGACATAAACTCAAATCCATGGAACTTAAAATATGTATAAGCTGAAAAGAAAAGAACACACTAATGAATCAGACAGAAAGGTTTTGCTTTATTTATTTTCTGAATCATGAATTTTTCCTATTGAATTTTAAAAAATAAAGCAAAATAAAAAACACTTTTAGGTGCAGAACGCTGTCCTAAATACTGACACTACTTTAACAGTATCTTCAATTTTGCATTCTCTATTTTTAGAGGCAGAACACTAACATTACTCAAAGAGAAAGGATTCTGGAGGGACATTTTAATAGATAGTTTTAAGGAAGACTAGAAAAAGCATTTTCATTTTTGTTTTCAGTGATGAAGATAGCAGAATATGTGCATATAACTGCTATCTGTTATTAAAGGTGGAGTTTTTGAAAAGTCAGCACTATTATACATGCATATGGTTCCATGCAGCAGCTCTGGAGTTGGCAAAAGTCATGTCCCCTCTGGACACAGCACATACGCTCCATGCAGGGAGCTTATCTGTTTTCCTAATGCCTATTGAAATACCTGGCTCAGGTTAAGTGCTTAAAATCTTGGTTGCTTGGGAGGGAAGAAGAATATGTTGGCTTATTATAGGTAAGTGGTTCAGGTTGAGAACATTTTTGAGCATCTGAACTTCCCTGGTGGCTCAGATGGTAAAGAATCCGCCTGCAATGCAGGAGACTGGGTTCAATCCCTGGGTTGGGAAGATCCCCTGGAGGAGGGCATGGCAACCCACTCCAGTATTCTTGCCTGGAGACTCCCATGGACAGAGGAGCCTGGAGGGCTACAGTCCATGGGGTTGCAAAGAGTTCGACACGACTGGGCAACTAAGCACATCATAGCACAGTACAAATCTAGTATAATGCTGAATGTTCGGGATACAAAAAATTAATACAAAACAGGCCCTCCTTTTTAAATCTAATAATGGAAGATAGTCCCATAAATGGAGCCGTCCATAGAGTGGAAGAAGTGCTTTGACAGAAGTGAGCAGAAAGCACACTGAGATCACAGGAAAAGGGCACCTGGTCAAAGCAGGGAGCTTAGGGAGGGTTCTTTGGTGAACAATTCATCACACCTCAATTTGGAATTTAAAGGTAGCTGAAAGACATGCATTACAAAAACAGAAAACAGGGATCTGCCTCATCTAAGAAGAGGCTGGTTTAAGTTCCTCAATCTTCTCATAGATACACCTCTTTGGAAATTTAAGGAATACCAACACCCCTTTCCTCAGAGAAATGAGTGCACACACACACACACGCACTTTCACATGCACTTTCAGGGGTCAGTGGATTGAGCCCACGTGAGACACTTCTAGAGCACTGCTTCAGAAAAAAACTACAAAGGGAAAGTTCTACTAGGCGTGGGGGGGGCGGGGCGGCGGTGACCATATGAAAAACTGACACAAGGCTTCCCGTACTTCTCAACTAACACAGTATCACTATAAAAGGAAAAATTATTTTAAAATGATTAGATCAGGGTGACCTAAACTACCTAAAGTTCAGCTGCAAATTGGCTGGGAAAACCACAGGGAGAAGGGTTTGGGGCAAAGTGGCAGAGAAAGAGTTAGTTGAAGTAAATGTCAGAAAAAAGACAACATTGAGTGCACCTATTTTGACTTTCCCCACAGGCTCTTGAGAGTTGGGAATTTCTTGCCTTTTTCTTATGAACTGTTGCCTAGCCATATCTCTTTATCCTTGACTTTGTAGATTTTAGGAGGACATGGAACCCTACTTTTATCCCTCTTAAAATGAATCTTAACTTTCTGCCTGCTGTTTTATAATGTTTAAATCAAGCTACATACATGACTCCTAAACTTTCATCTCCAGTCCTAAATTCTCTTCTATTTACCACTAAATTTATATATTCAAAGGCTAACAAGCTATCACTTTTGGGTTATTGAATCCATATGGTTGGACAGGCCCAAATCACAACATTTTATATGCATCATCTCATTTAATCCTAGGAAACTGAAAGTAGTTATATCCACTTTATGCATGTGGAAACTATGGGGCAGTTCTGTCCTTTTAACAATACTGTTAAAAATGCGGAGACATTTTTGATTGCCATAATAAACAGGACGGGGTGCCTCTGTATTCAGTGAATGGGCATGAGGGATGCAGCTCAACACAATATAAAAACGTTTTTATCTTGTACAATATTTATAACACTGGAAAAACTGATCTTAGTCTCAGTTATCTGAGACTAGAGTTCTAATTCTAATTTCACATAATCCTTTCAAAAACAAAAGGATTTGTGCATAGTATTAATACACACTGAATTTCAGAAACACAGTTACTAAGTAAGTTGAGGGAGGACTGTATTTTTGTGTTTCTGCAGCTTTATTCAGAGCAGTTGACCACTTTGAAAAATAAGTCACCAACAGCACTGAAACTCATATGACATTTGGGTTGACAATATATACACCAATATCAGTCTGTGCTTGTACTGTCTCATCATGGTGACTGTGTGTGTAGAGATACAAATACACTTATTTAGCCTCATTTCACGATGTTAAATATGAAATATTGGAAATAGTCACTGGAATTTTATCTTAATTCTTAAAAACTGAACCTTTTCCTTGTAGGAAGGTACAAGCATCTGATTAATTCATTATGTCTTCTAGTATAGCCATGCTGGAATTATTTACACATTAAATCACACACTTCTTAAATTCTCATGTATTTTAATAGTTTAAAAAAATTATTTGTAGAGGTAATTATATTCCCTGAAAACTGCATTTCAGAATCGTAAAGGGGATGCAGATTTTGATATGAGGCCAGAATACTGGAGCAGGTTGCCATTCCCTTCTCCAGGGGATCCTCCCAACCTAGGATTGAACCCAGTTCTCCTGCATTGCAGGCGGATTCTTTAGCAGCTGAGCCACAGGGAAGCAGCGTGAAAGTCGCTCAGTCTATACAGTCCATGGAATTCTCCAGGCCAGAATACGGAAGTGGGCAGTCATTCCCTTCTCCAGGACATGAGACCATGCTACACCATTCTCTACTGCTCTCCCATCAGGGACCACACATCTCCCTGCCTTTGCTCCTATTGTTGCCTCTGCATGGCCAGTCTACTTACTACCCACACCCCAATTCACATTTCTCTTTAGAGACCCACTGTAGATGGCACTTCTTTGGACACTTCCACACCATACCCCTCCCCGCTCCTACCACATGCAACCTGGTTATTCTCTCTTTTGGTCTCTCTCTCTCAAAGAACTTTGATTCTTTGCCTGTCTGACCTCTTCTCCTCAAAGCAGCAAAAGTAGTATTAATTTAAAAAGAAAAGAATGATCTTAACATATTAAGTCTTGTCCCCTCCTTTGTTCTGCAGTTAGAATTAGATCCAAATGCCCTCTATCATGGGCCTGCATGACCAGTCTCTTCTCATCTCTCTGACACCTTAACCCGCTCCATCTCACTGGCCAGGCTTCATCTGATACTTGCTTTTTTTCTTTTTGGTGTAAACATTTAAGTTCTATTTTCTCAGAAAATTCCAATTACACAATACAGTATTATTAACTATGCTGTTGTTTAGTCTCTAAGTTGTGTCCCACTCTTTTAAGACCCCAAGGACTGTAGCCTTCCAGGCTCCTCTGTCCATGGGGGTTTCCCAGGCAAGAATAC